AATAAATTTTAACAGAAATTGTTTCATTAGGAATTAAATAAACTCCAAAGTTTAAAAAACCATGAAGTTCATGATAGCTTTTTAAAGCGATTTGTTTATAATATGTATCCTGTATTCCCACATTTTGTGCTATGCACAACCAAGAAGTAAACCTCAGATAACATGATCAGGAAGGGATAGGAGTCGGTATTCACAGTGGACACCAGGAACAAGACATGAATTCCATTGACAATCCTTCTAAAAGAATGTTGCCATTCTCTCTCAGAGAGAACCCTACAGGGCCCAGGATATCTAAGCACTGAACTCATTATAAACTGCTTGTCACCTTTCACAGGTTCCAGCAATTCTGGAAGGATTTTTCTTTTCTTTCTATGTTTTAGTATTTGCTTGGTTTCTATATGGCATGAATACTTTGTGGCAACCTCTGAAGACAGGCTTTCTCTTGGTGATATCTCCTTCAGTAGTTGCAAAGTTGAGCACCCTTGAATGCTAGCTTTATCTGTAGCACTCAAGGGCTTCAGCCTCAGCCTTGTTAGCTGCATTGTTCCAGAGGATCAAGAATGGAGAAGTGGTCTCTGATACAACTGTGCCCTCACTTGTTGATAGCCGTGTAGATTAAGACCAAGGCCTGACCCACCCTGCTATGCCTCCACTTTATCCTTCAAGTCCATCCTTAAAGTGTATTTCTCCCAAAAGATCTTCAAACTATAGTCCCCTCTTAACAGAAGCATTAACAAAGGAGCAGAATATAATTCTCTTTCAGGAAAAAAAACTGACAAGATATATGCTTGCACCACTCAGCCACTCTGCTGCTTTTACGGGCCACGAACCACTCTTGTCTAGTTAGCTAGTAGTATGCTCTTTGGGCAAAGACTTTGTCTTTTTAGTTGTCTGGAAAGTGCATCTCTCTCTCATCTGCAACTGTCACCGAAGTACCTGAGCAGTTAGCCTGTTGAAACAATAACTAATCAAACTGTGATTACCTTAGTCTCAAGAATGGTTTCCAACAGCCATTTCAAAATGTTATTTTTTGTTGCTGCTGGCTGGCAAGCTGTTACTTGAAAGCATTATTAAGATTTTGTCTACACTAGCAAGTTGTACTGTTTTAACTATACCTATATAAAAAGAACAGGAGTACTTGTGGCACCTTAGAGACTAACAAATTTATTAGAGCATAAGCTTTCGTGGGCTATTGCCCACTTCTTCGGATGCATATAGAGTGGAACATATATTGAGGAGATATATATATACACACATACAGAGAGCATGAACAGGTGGGAGTTGTCTTACCAACGCTGAGAGGCCAATTAAGTAAGAGAAAAAAATTTTTTGAAGTGAAAACAGACTCCAACGAGAGACTGCTGAGCTGGAATTGATATGAAAACTAGATACAATCAACTCAGGATTGAATAAGGACTGGGAATGGCTGAGCCATTACAAACATTGAATCTATCTCCCCTTGTAAGTATTCTCACACTTC